GTTGTGTGGCGGCTGCTGCTGCTGCTGCTGCTGCTGCTCCAGACTTTGCTTTGGAGGAATGGCTTGGGGAAGTTTGGCCAGGAAACGTAGCCTGAGGCAGCTTTGCAGCCCCCTCTTTGCTTGTTGCACTTTTTCCATTTGTTCCTTCGCTTTTTGCAGGCTCTGACTCAGGGAAGGTGCGTATTATCCACTAGACACGTCGAAGAAGAGAGAAACCAATTAGGGTCGAAATAAATGCTAGGGAGAGAGAGAGGGAGCGAGAGAGAGGGAGAGAGAGGGGGAGAGGGAGAGAGCCTTGCTTCAAATTGCTCTCGTGTTAGAGACGAAATGAGAATTTAGGGCAGGTGGCACTTTGCATTATTATTATTTGGGTTCACATATGACAGGCAAATCCTAAAGCGGGATGGAAATGGACATTGCTACATTTATGGCCAAGGTTTCAACAAAAAAAACTTTTTTCGCCTTTGTCAGCGTGAGAGTTGGAGAGGGGAGCGAGCCCCGCTTCCCAGCCTGGATAACGCTGCTGGGGACTGGGATTGCTCAAACTCTTCGGGAAGCGCATATTGTTTGGGGAGCTAATGAGCCTAATAAAAACGTGATGATGGTGGTGAGGGGCTGGTGGGGGCTGTAAGAAATATTGACTCGTTTTCAGGTCTGTGGGGGATGATGTTTCGTGGTAGACCAACTATTAACGTAGTTCACAGCGAACGTGGAAGGAACTTTTGACTAACAGTGGACTCGGGAATCTCTTGTTTTCCAGTAGTAATGCCTCTTTGTTTTTTTTTTTAGATGTTTTCACCTCCTGTGAGCAGTGGGAAAAATGGACCAACTTCCTTGGCAAGTGGACATTTTACTGGCTCAAGTATGTAAAATTTTTGTTTTGTATGTAGTTAAAATGTTGTTAGTTATTTATCCATAGGCATTACCTTTGTTGTGGTTGTGTTAATCTCTTCTGGGGAGCAGCTTCATTCATATTTGAGCGGAATTATTCCTAAGCGCTGGCTATTATTATTATTGTTGTTGTTGTTGTTATTATTGTTGTTGTTGTTATTATTATTAATTTCCCCAAGACTGGGACATTTTCACAGTATTTCCATACATTTATGATTTTTTTAAAAAAACCCCTTAAACTTCTCATCTGTATAATTGTTCAAGGGGAGCTAGTTTAAATCTTTTTCTTTTTTAGATTGAACATGGGAGATTTTTATGGACAATTTCAGATGCTATCTTTTGTATGTCAGAAATGATAATCAAAACATCTTGCGTGAGAATTAATTTTGTGAATAAGAATTGAAGGCTGCTTAAATAAAACAAATAAATAAATAAGCAAGTATCCGAGTATAAACACCAACCTCTTCCAGGAAAAGAACTCTTTAGTATTAGAGATCCCTGTTTGCTGATGGAATATTTTTCGGTGAATTAAAATCTTCAGGCTGGTTTCTTTTCCTGGTGCAAATTAGGGCATTTTCTTTCTAAATATTTGACTGCTTTTGAAGAGTCCCTGAAATTTAACTGGAGGATTTGTTTGTTTGTATGTTTGTTTATGTGGCTGTAGTAGTACTGTAGGGGCAACTTCTGCATTCCATAAAGGCAGGAGTCCTGTTTGATGACAAAAGAAATATCAGAGCTCGTTGCGGCAGAACACATGTGTACAGTAATTGTCTGGCAACTAAAGTTTTATATAGAGGCTTTTATATGCCTGACAAATTAGAAGTAAGACTAGCAAAGATACTTACGCATTTGAAATTTCCTTACTCTTCTGTGAAGTTCGTTTAAGAGGGTTCCCTGCCTTGCGGATGTGGTGTTTTGGACAGGACACAAACACATCTCCGGGTAGAGAGTTGCAGTGTTTTAAAAGCACAGGCAATTACACATACCAACACACTGTACGTAGTATTGTTATACGCGGAGCACTGTTCTAAATCAGATGGTAAATTTGGACAAGTCTTCACTGCAAACTGCCAGTGGATATCTAGATATAAACACGTCATTGCATATGGTTTCATGCCTGGTATTTGCAGTTCGTACTCAATTAAAGGAACCTCTTCTGTGTATTCAGTATAGCCATTTTTATTAGATGCACTAGTACGTCAATTAACTTTCTATTTCCAAAGAAGGACTTCCTACTTTGAAGGTAGTCTGTAATACACATTTTTAAGGTACTGGATCAAATGCCGCCTACGATTATTAGGCACTCATTTTGTGAATGTTATTCTAGTCAGACTTTCAAAATAATAACGTTTTTGTTTTAGCTTGACAAATTTGGTTGTATTATGAATATAGTGACTTGGAGAATTTTACTGTTAGGCTTGAATAACTTTCCAAGCATGATTTGCCTTGTATCTCACAGGCTAAAGATTTTAATCCTATTTTTTGTCATTTTCCGAATTACATAATTTTAATAACTGATTTAACCGAATACATAATATTCACGATATTTGTTTTCACTGGAGAGAAGCGAAGAGTGTTTGTGCCAGACAAATCAATTTGTCATGCTTATATACCAGTCAATGCAGCAACTAACACTTGGTCTAACAGCAATTGACTAGATAGTTATATTTAATAAATGCATCGTAAACCTCATCTATGAAGTCATTTTGATCAGAAATACCACAGGACAGCAAATCTGAACAGTGAGTGAAATCGAGGGGTTATATTGTATTTTACTGTCTCTGAATCTGAAAGCATTAAAGTAACTTTGACGCATCATTTTAGACATACAAATGATTTAATGAGCTGAAGTAAGGTAGTAATATTAAGACACAGACCATTTAAAATAACACCTGAACTCTCCCACACTGTAAGAACACGTAAATGCCTGAATACACCGGTCTCTGATGGTGGAGGATGAAGTACCCTGCTTGATAAAGGAATGTATACTGTATGTTGGTAGCTCGTTTGCACGATGGCATGCAGCACAGGGTACGCTCTTCTAAGGGAAAATCATGTTGAATTTCCTATATAAATATCTGTGGCTTGGTTATTAGACGGGGAGTTTTGTAGCGAGTGATCAGTGATTTGAGAAAAGTTGCCCGAACGGAGGCATGGGTGACTTGCCCCTCGCTGGTGCTCGGTGAGAGGGTGGGTGTGTGGCCTGAAGATGCAGTTGCGTGAAGGAGAAGCGTGGCTATTGTTTCCCTGTGCTCTTGCTGGCCAGCTAGCTCTGTGCCAGAGTCTTGCTTCTTCCGAATATTTGGTGTGCGGTGTTGGAATGAGCCAGGACTTGAGAAATTCAGATTTGATACGATAGCGCCCAGACGACTGCTTCGAGAGATGTTTTCTGTAACTATACAGAAGGATTAAAGGTAGCTCCATTAATAACATGTGAACACAGTTTATTATTCTAATTATGCATATTGATCATACGGAATTTTAGCGATCCGAATGCAGCCTGTTCTTCCTCCTGGACAGATGCCCTTCTGAAGTTTGAGCTGACCTTCTCTTAATGGTCCTGTGTTAAAAATTATATTTACTGAGATGGGGAACCACAGATGTCGTTCCTCTGCATTAACCTGAAACTTCTCTTATGGGGGGGAGGGAAAAAAAGGAGAGGGGGGGGGAAAAAAAAAAAAGACCCCAAAGAAAAGAAATCTCAAGCAGTGAAGTGAAACTAACTGTACTTTAGGAAGTGTGGTAATATTTCATGCTTAAAGTCATCTTAACAGCTTTTTACTCATCTAATATATGATGCTCTATTGTGATTTGTAATGTGTGAATGAAAATAAAGTAAAGCCACATTTCCTTTTAATCTTTAATTTCACAAACATGGCTTCTTACCATGTTAAGAAATGGTGAGGGCTGCAAGGGAGAAAGGAATGTAACCTGAGCCACAGCCGTGACATTCCCATGGAGCATTTTTCACATGAAAGGCTTTTGTCAACCCAGTAAAGGACCAGGAGTTTTTGTTTGATGTTTGCAGGTGTTCAGCAGAGAGCACTAAAACAATTCAGCCATGCTGGTTTAGAGACTCTGACCTTAACAGGGAGAATTGGTGAAGACTGAAATTATTTTTAAGAAAACTCCCCTGGAGTTACCTCAAATTTATATTGTATTTGTAAAGTGATTTAATACCTGTTACTTAAATTGAACAATACACATCCATTAGAACGAAGCAGGGTTTTTCTTTTTTCTTTTTCTTCCTCCTTCCCCCCCCCCCCCCCTTTTTTTTTAGGACAGTTGCCAAAATAAAATGAATTTTCCCAGATCTTCTAAGATTTTCTGACTAGTTTACCTTAGCTTCCGCAGTAAAAGCATTTGTCATCATCTGGGTGCGAACCATGGCAAAATAAGGGGAAGATGATGATTGCTGGTGCTCGATTTTGGGAATGGATTTTGAAGCAGCTTTTCAGCAATTGTGGTGCTCAAGAATTTGCTAGGTCTGTCACATTTGGCATATTTCGGTTTTCGAACTGTTAATCAAAGCCCACATCTTCCTGATTATGTTCAATTTCTGCTTCTTCTATTTTAAGTATTTAATTTTACCTAAGTTTTCAAGCATCTGTTATAGATTGCCCACTATGTATATGTTTGAATATTGTGTGGGTGTGAGTAGCAGTGGAATAACTGAATTCTTATGATTGGCCATTCCTATTGCACAAAAAAAAAATCTAAAATCTTTGCTAGCGCAGACATCACTGAATAAAGCAAAGTCAGTTTAAAGGATTTAAAGACTTTTAATTTTGCCATTAGTTTGATCAGGGCTTGTCCTACATTAGAATAACAGCGATTACAAATTAATACATCTTTAACTAAGGAATCACGAATTCAGCTTGGTTTTGAAGTCTTTTTTTTTTTCTTTTTTTTACTTTGGATGTGCCTGTGAGTGAATTATAAGCAAATACAGTTTTTTAAGTACAGTTCATTTTTGGAGCCTGGCCTTCTGGGAAAGGTGCATAATTTTGCTATTATGGGTGGATCATCAGAAAAACTGAATTAAATACAGTCTTTATCTTGGAAACGTTTTGGTAGCTGCTCAGGTTGGGCACACCTCGGGATGCGTGCGCGGGTCCCGCTAAGTGTCAGTAGGAATAATGCGTGTGAGTGCTGGGGAAGAGCACACCCTTTACCAGGGAGGATTTTGGAAGAAAGTGATTTATTTGGGGGGTTATAATGCAGAATTGCCACTCAAAAGAAAAAAAACCCAACCCGTACGTGAGAAATTTTAAGCATATGGATCAGAAGAGTACTTTTAATCCTGAAGGAAAAGAAGCGTAGTAGGTACCTAGCTACTGCAATTCCATAGGTGGCTCTGAGGGGTAGTCCACATTCGTAATGGTATATGTCAGAAAACACAGAAAATGATGATTGAATTTGGGTGTTGGCTTTGCTTGCGTGTTGCACCACGTTCCCTCGTTTGCCAGGCGCCATTCCAGGTCTCCGGCGCGCTGGTGCGCAGGGCACGGCACCTCCGAGCCCCAGACCCTCCGGCCCCTCGCCCGCTCCGGCTCTGCTGCTGCTAGCTCGTGGCTGCGCTGTGGGATGCTCCTCTCGTTTCGCCTGTTGAAAAATACTTGAGGCTTTAGTTTAGATACACAAAGGCAACTGCTTCCATATTTTTCATCCCTGATGTTTCGTAATTATGATTAAGAAGAAGAAGAATGCTAGTTACCTCCCATCCTTCCAGCTATGTTTACTTGCGAAGCGTTCGATCCTCCTCCCCTCCGAGTCCTATTAAAGAGAGTACTGTGGGGGCAGAAAAAGACCCACGCTATGGTATTTGAATTGGCCTGAGACACCGGAGTGCATACTTGGAGGAGCTAAATATTTAGTTACAAAGAAGAGAGGTTACTTCTGAGTTTGTCTCTTGCTCGCAGTGGCAAACTGAGCGTATCCTGCAGAGGACGTTCCAGAGACACAGCCACC